ATTAGATGTGTATGAATATTAACCATTTTAATATCTCAACACTTAATATAAATTAATCGTCACAAAAATAAAAATAAAAAATGCTTTTTTAAACGGTGACACTAAAATACATGGTCACATATTTATACCTTTTTGGTTCCAAATCTTCATGTAAGGATGAAAACATTATGCATACTTTTTATAACACTTTATTTTCATTTGTAGAATTTGCAACATGACATAACCGGACAATCTGACCAGCAATACTGTGAGGACATCTATTGGTTCGTGGACTTGGTGCACAAAATGCTAACTGTAATGCCGGAAACGCGAATAACAGCGGTCGATGCACTCGCTCACCCGTTCCTGACGATCATGCATTTCATCAAGTACCCAAGCACAGTGATGACCAAGAAACACGCTAAACTTATGAAATCGTGTATGCTAGACATTTAATTCGATATCAACCTCAATGTTTWTCTGACCGGGTCCCTCCACACTTTTAATTTAAAAACCAGCCAACTCTGCCCACCGATATGTGCACTTTCGGTGAAAGCTTCTTTTTTTTTAATAATAATTTATTATTTGTATTGTACGCGTATTTATTGTATAACACTACGATATAGGTATTATCATCTTGAAAATAAGACGTCGAATGTGATAGTAATAAAGATAACTGTGCAGTACCATTTATACGCTGCGTTATTGTGTAGTGATCATTTTGTTTAATAAATAGTTCGGTAGATCGTGGTTTATACTTGAGTATAAGTAATGTTTTTCGGTCACATCTATCTGCACGGTATGGAAAAAAGTCTGAAATTTCGAAGTTTTGCATCCTGAAATCACCTATATTTTATATATATATATATAGCTATCCCTTGAAAGTACAACGGTCTGAATATTAATCTCCACAGGGACTCTAGGATAATATAATGCGCCTACCGTTTGTGCCTACAATCGTGTGGTGGCGATTTGCCAGAAATAACTTCCATTTTGTCCCGTTTATCTAAATTGCCTGCCTGTAGGTACTTCGTACWTTCATTTTACATTTTTAATAATAATAATAATAAAATGTTTTGTACAACAATATAGAACATTTTCAAATGTAGGAGCAAGATTTGAGAAAAAAGGAACATAATAAGAGATTGATGAAAATCTCAACAAAAAATTTGGAACTTATACGTAATCACTAT